CTGGTGAAAGGAGATGGGAATAAGACTCTTGTGGTTCAACAGTGTGTAACTGTTATCATGACTGATTGCAATTATTTCAACCGTAAAGGTAATTGTTTTGCTGCAAAAAGAGGGGAGTGGTTGATCTTGCAGGCCAGGAGTGGAGGACCCTGAGACCATTAAGGGAGAAGAGCGGGAGCAGAGTGTGGGACCCTATTCAGAGAAGCGGCAATGCTAGAGATGGAGGCAGAGAAGATGACGTGGAGAGATGGAGCGGCTGGGAACTCCTCAGAGAGGTAGAGGGGCTGTGTGCTGGCAGCCAGAAGCAGGCTTGCAGGGTGTGCCCTTTGGCTGTTTGAATGATTGTATATTCCTGAGTGCTTTGGTGTACACACTCACACAAAAAAAAAAAAAAAAAAATACAAAAAACAGGGTATAGAAAAGCAAATGCTGTTGAATGATGATGCATGGAGGGGACTGTAATCATTGCAATGAAATGAAACACGATAGGATAAGTGTAAAGCTGATGTACTCCCATGTAAACCATCATTCAATTCACAATAAAAACTTAAAAAAAATGAAGCTGTTTACAATTCAACTCATAAAAGGGCAAATAAGCTAACTTTAAAAATGGACAGATGTGCTCAAGAGACATTTCTCCAAACAAGACCTAAAAATGGCCAAAAGTGCATGAAAAGTGGCTCAATTTCTATAGCCATTAGTAAAATGCAAACTGAGAACACAATGAGATCCCTCTTCACACACACCAGGATGACTGTACAAAAAGCACAGTCAGGAGAGTAACAAGTGTTAGCAAGGATTGGAGCAATCAGAACCCTCTTCCATTGCTGGTGAGATTGTCCAGTGGTACGGCCACTGTAGAAAATAGTCTGATGGTTCCTCAAAGAGTTAAACACAGAACTAAGTACCATATGACCTAGCAATTCCACTCCTAGGTATTGACTCCAGACAAACAAAAGCATATGCCCACACAAAAACTAGTACACAGCTGTCCACAGCAGCACAATTTACAGTCACCACACAGGTATAAACTACCCATGTAGCCACGGATGGAAGAATGGATAAGCATGTGACCCATTCAGGTAATGGAAAACTACTCAGCCACAGAGAGAGATGAAGTTCAGATACATGCTGTGACAAATACATCTTGAAGACAATACGAGGATGAGATAAGCCAGACACAAAAGATAAATCCTGTATGATTCCACTAATATGAAATGTCCTGAATAGGCATATCCAAAGAGACAGAAGTAGATTCATCATTTCCAGAGACTGGAGCTGGGGGAGAAATTGGCAGTGACCGCTAATAGGTCTGGGGTCTCTTAGGAGGTCCTGAAAATGTTTTGAAATATGTGATGCTTGTACACACTTCTGATTAGACCAAAAACCACTGAACTGTACATTTTATAGTATGTGAACTAGATGTCAATTTTTTTAAAATTGAAATAAAAAAAGAGAGAGAAAAAACTCTGTCTTCAATTTCAGCAACAGCTTAAGCTTTGTAACCAATGGGGTCCCAGCCAACTGGATTAAGGTGGCCCTACAGTCCCCAGAAAAGAGGTCTGGTAGCGTACTTACGAATCAGGCTGCGAACCTCAGGGTCAGCAGTTCGAAACTACCAGCGGTTCCATGGGATAAAGAGGAGGCTTTCTGCTCCCATAAAGATTTACAGCCTCAGAAACCCTGTACAGGGTCGCTGTGGGTCGGAACCGACTCCACGGCACATGACAATAACAGCCCTAGCGTTTCCAGGTCCTTGGGTCCACCATGCACAGCACGGACCCACACTGCCACAAGGCCATAGGAAGGTTTCACTATAGCTGTGTCGCCATCCAAAGCTCCAGAGGAGCCGCGGACACCCACGTCCCAGACCACCTCTCACCCTCCATGCCCACAGAGGCAGCACTTAAGGGGCATATGGTACAGTCAGGCCCCTGCTTTGAGAGAGAAGTGGGTGGGGTGGGGACTGGAGCTTCTAAGGGATGCCACTAAAATCAACAAAATGGTGGCAGGGAACTGAGGGACAAACCGAGCCTGCTCAGACTCAACTCAGAAACCGAAGGTCACAGCCGGAATTTCACAGTGTTCTGTAAGGCAGTGCAAAACCAACATCCTCCCCAGCCAGCCCCAGCGCTCAACAGCAATACCCTTCCCCACAAGGCCTCCCACAATCTCTGAGGAACAAGTCAGGTCTCAGATTTTCTGAGTTCCTTAAATGTGGGTTTCTGTTTCATTTACCCCCCAGGCTTCTCGGAACCAATAGGAAGCTCTCATCATGTGCTGCCGTCTGAACACCCTGACCAGAAGTTTCTTTCTTCCAACCTGGGCACAGGTTCCCAGAGGCCACATCTCTCTCCTGTCCAGCAGTGAGCATCAGGGAGCCAGGACATGAAGCTTAGCTACCAGAGCTTACAGTTCTAGAACAAGGAACACCCACAAACTTTTAAAGCAAAGCCAGCTCTCCACAAGATGCTACAAAGCGCAACAACTGTCATTGGCAAGAAACTGCTCACTGTAAAACCAGCTGGAAGAGTGGGTCACACCCACATTTGCAGGACAAGAAAGGGGTCTCTTTCACACCCTTACCTTAGCGTTTTCGTACTTCTCAGAGGAGGGATGGTACGGTGGAATAGACCAACTGTATGGTGAGTCGTCACTGTGGTTGGAAGAGATTCCTTGAGGGGAAAAAAATAAAGTGCGTAAATAAAACTTGAAGGGTCCTTTTTCCCACCCAAAAGGCAAACTCTGTAAACCACTGGACCTCAGTTTTCTCATCTATAAAATCAAGAGCTGAGGCCAGATAAGAAGTCCCCACTAGAAGCAAGTTGCCAAGTTGAGGACTCAGCATCTGACCTCCTGCTAACTGTGAGATCTGTGCTATGCTCTGTGGAAGGGAGGACCCCAAATGGGCAAGACCAGCCATTTTTATGGATTCAATTGTGTTCCAGGGCCTGTGTATGTGGCCTTATTTGGAAATAGGGTCTTTGTGTCTATCATTAGTTCGTATGAAGCCATACTGGAGTAGGGTGGGTCCTAATCCAATGACTGAGGCTCCTATAAGAAGAGACACAAAGACAGGCAGGCATAGAGAAGACAGCCTTAGAAATAGGGCGGCAGAGACTGGAGTTCTGGTATCACCAGCTAAGGAACACCTGGAGCTACCAGAAACTAGAAGAGACAAGGAAGGGTCTTCCTGGGGCCTTCAGAGGGAGCACAGCCCTGAATTCGCATTTCTAGCTTCCAGAGTTGTGAGAGAATCAACTTGTGTTGATTCTCTCACAACGTATAGAGGCCCTTGGCAAAGGCAGCCAAATCCCAGGAGGAGACTGCCAGGCATACCAGGATGAAGTCAGGCATCCCTGGACGGTACAGGTGGTTAATGCACTGGACTGCTAACTGAAAGGCCAGTGGTTTGAGTCCATCCCGAGGTACATCAGAAGAAAGGCTTGGCGATCTACTTGTGAAAAATCAGCCACTGGAAACCTGATGCTGCACAGTTCTGCTCTAAGACGCATGGGGTCTCCAGGAGTCACACTGACTGGACAGCAACTTCCCGGACTTGCTGTCACTGTGTTCTCTCCTCTACCCTATGAAGGAGACAGCCAAGGCCTAGGCACCACCATCTGACAGGCAATGCCTTACACAACGCCCACCAGGTTTTCCATAGTGGGCAGGGCTCAAGGTTTGGCCTCAGCAAGCTCAGTACTGTGCTCACTGAGGAGACGGAAGCCCTGTCCTAAGCTGAATCATCTACAGTCGGCTGAGGCAGACATCACAGCCACGGGGGATAGTGAGGGAGGGCTGACAGCTGTCAGGAGTAGTTGTGCCTGTGGGTCCCAGCAGCCCAGGGAGGGCAGGCAGAGGCCTTCGGGGGTCCAAGCGGCTTTGGAAATGCTGTCCCAGGGAGCACTCAGAAGAGAGGGTCTCATCTGTAGAGCCACAGGAGCAAGACACCCGGCACTCCACCAGAGCGCCACAGGGGTCAGTCTAGAGGGACTCTGGGGTACAGGGGACTGCTAGCACAACAAGCAGGGTAGAAAGAGCAGGTGGGGGCCAATGGAGTGGTTCTAACCCCTCAGCAGATGAGCGACCTTAGCAGGCGCCCTTTCACTCACGCACTCACTGTCTGATCTGGACGCTTCCTATGAAGGAGACCATCAGGGCAGCCAGCACTCCAGCTCCACAGACAAGGAATCGGAGGCTTCAAGAGGACAGATGACTTGCCCAAGGTCAACTGTACAGCTAGGAAGAGGCAGCGCTGGGGCTAGAACCCAGGTCCCAGATTCCTGGTGTTGCTGCTCCCAGGGTACTCATGACGACCAGACACTGAGGACAAGGGAAAGGTCAAGGGTGGGCTATACTGTGGTGTATCTGCACACTAGACTATGACGCTGTCATGACCACTGACTTGTGAGTGCTATGGGAAATGTGGTGGTCCCTCAAAAAGCGAAACACAGAATTACCATAGGACCTAGCAATTCTACTCCTAAGTACAATACAAATCAAGACAGTCAAACTCACTGCAACTCCCAGTGAACCTAGGGGACACAGCAGAACTGCTCCGGAGATTATAAATCCTGAAGGGAGCTGGGCATTGAACCAATGGCCATGCAGTTAGAAGCATAATGATTAACCCCCTGTGCCATACTCTAAAGGCTATCAGACCAAAGACTGGAAAGCAGGGACACAAACAGCGTGAGTCACTACAGCAAACTGTCTATCAACAGATGAATGGGTAAGCAAAACGTGGTCTATCCACACCATCGAACATTTTCCAGCCACACAAAGGAAGGAAGTCCTGGTACACGTGACAGCATGAGTGGACCCTGAAAACATGATGCTGAATGAAAAAGTCAGACAAAAACAACAAATATGCAATGACTCCACACATATGAAATGCCTAGAACAGGCTAACTGCATAGATGAAAGAAGTAGTGGTTAGCAGTTAGTCACCCAACTGTACACATAAAAATGGCTGAAATAACAAAGTTTGGGTTATATGTATTTCATTAACCACCATAAAAAATTTAATGACTTTTATATAGTGTAACTACATGGTAAAATGTTTATCTTTTTAAAAACTTCCAATCTAGAAAATGACATGCATAGGATGATCTGGAATCAGAAAAAGAATGTACACCGAAACTCAAAATAGGGCTCTCCTCAGGGTAGCGAGAGAACAAGTGATTGGTCTTCTTAAGTTTATCACTTCCCTTTTCCCCCAATGTTCTATCAAATCAACACACACAACTTGTGAAGACTGAGTAGGTCTTCTGCACTTCAGTTTCTCAGGCAGGGTTCAAGGTCAGGAGTGCCAGCTGCTGGCACACTAAGGGCCCTAATCCCCACAAGTCAGCTCAGCAGTCCCAGCCACGTGGGAGACCCTCAGATGTTCTCATTCAATCCCTCACTTCACTGCACACTCTGAAGTAGAGGTTCAAGGACACAGCTAGGCTGGCACCCACATACCCCGTTCCCCATCCAGTACCCTTCCCACCCCAGGAGGCTGCTTTCTGAAAGGAAGAAGGACACCTTCTACCCTATTTCACTTTTGGTGAGGGCATGAAACCACATTGAGAAGTGCTTTTTTTTTTTCCCCCTGGAATGGCAGCAGTGGGTAATGAGAGGCCCACCCAACGTACAGAGGCCCTTGGCAAAGGCAGCCAAATCCCAGGAGGGGACTGCCAGGCGTACCAGGATGAAAGACTTTTCCAACCGACATGGTCACATAGCCATTCTCCTTGAAGAACTGAGGGATGGTGGAGAAGTTTCCAGCATGTACCCTCCAGTAGGAGTTGAAGTCATACAGGCGGGTGGTGTCGGGCCTCCTACCAGTGAGGAAGGACACACGGCTTGGGGCGCACACTGCTTGCTGATAGGGAACAGAAACAGAGTTAATCATCCTCAGAGAAAAATATATTTGTCATCTAGAAGGTAACCAAGCAGCCTCCTGAGGGCCTCAGACAACAGCTTGTGGGGCTGAGTCATGCAGCTCTACAAGCCAATCAGTGGCGACTGGGCCTCCCTCACCCATTGGCAGAGCTCAGTCTTCCCTGAAGAGAAAGGGTCGAAACCTTAGAGATCTGTTCAGGACAGCACCTAGCGGCCCACAGAGCTGACACTGTCCTGGGGGCAGTCCTGTGAGGGGGCCCGGGCAGGAATGCATTCTGCAGGACCCCAGCCAGTGACTGTGGGAAAGAGAGCTGGAGGGCTGGCCAGAGTATAGCCTCGAACCAAGCAGAGAACAGCCTTGCATGCACGAGCTTCCTTGTGAGTGGCCAACCAGGTTTGCTTGACTGCCATGGTTCCCTCAACCCCTGAGATGCCTGGCACCATCAGTGCCATCTGACCATAGTGAAGGGACCCCAGCCCTCAGTGCACCAGGCTCACACACCCATGCCTAGGGGTCCCCAGACATACCTGGGCAAAAGCATTCTGGAAGAGGAGGCTATGGGATGCCAACTGGTCGATGTTTGGGGACCTCACCAGCTTGTCCCCATAACACCCCAGGGTGGGGCGCAAATCATCCACGACAATGAAAAGGATGTTCAGAGCATCTGTCCAGGAGGGAGGGGGGCTCTGGTGAGATTGGGCATGTTGATACTCTAGTCCCATTGCTATGGTAGGTGCTAGGGGTATGGAGAGCCCCAAAGGCTAGGCCTGCAGAACATGGGCAAGGGGTGGTACTGAGGGCATAAAGCCCATACTGTGCTGTGCCCCAGTGGGGATTGGGGAGTAGTGTGCATAGAAGCACAAGTCTTGGGTGGCAGCGTCAGGCTAGATGAAAGGAGCAGTGAGGGGGAGAGCTTAGGAGAAACAGAGCTCAGGACAGATGGGGATGTTTACATGGAGAGGGAAGGATAAGTGGAGGAAGGGAGGGAGGGCATGAGGGAAGAATGGAGAGAGGGAGAGAACGGTGGAAGGGAGAAAAGGAAGGACAAAAAGAAGAAGGAAGGGGAAAAGGTGTGAAAATAAGAGAGAAGTGACTACTGACAAAGCGAGGCAAAGAGCGAAATGGGTGGAAGGGAAGATGGATGGATGAGGGAAATGGGAGGGTGGGAGGAGGGAGAGGGAAAGATGGATGGAAGATGAGAGGGAGGGAAGGAACAAACTGATGGGAAGGGAGGATGGTTGGAGGAGGGCAGGGTGAATGGATTGATGGATGGATGCAGAGAAAGAAGGAGGAACAAAAATAGACTAGATGGAGGGAGGGAGGGCTAATAGGAGGAATAAATGGATGTAGGCTCGGAAGGCGGGGAACACCGCGAGCCGGCCGAGACCATGGGACAACACCTGTGACCGCGTTCCCCTGCGCCGCAGTCTCGAGGGCCCCACAAAAGGTTGCCAGGACCAGGCTGAGCCCGAGCAGGTTCCAGCCGGGAGACGGCGGCATTTCTCCTTCGGGCCGCGCCCCAGGGCGGCGCTGACCGGCTGAGGCCGGAGAGCCAGGGAGGAAGCGCCACAGCCAGCCGTGGCGTAGAGAACTACCACCACCAACTGCGCCAGGCGGCCGCAGCGGGCCCTACAGGCCCCAGCCGGATCCCAGTGCGCCTGTGCCCAAGATCCCGTCCCGCCCCCTCGGAGGCGGGACCTAGCGACGCGTGTGGTCCGAGCGCGTGATCTGAGCCACAGTGGGCGGGGCCACGGTCAAACGTAGGACTGTTGGCAACGTGTGTGTCCCCGCTGGACCGTGCTTCCTCTCTGAAAACCATAGTTCACCTGCGGCCCAGCCAAAGGGCATCCCCCGGGGGAGGGGCCTTTCCTAGTCATCTGTTCAACAAATAAGCACTCTGTTGTTGATAAGTGCCATTGAGTAGGTTCAGATTTATTGCAATCCAGTACAGGGTTCTTGAGGGAGGAGCGGCAGGTGACTGACCTTGAGGTCCAGTACTTATCCTACAGCGCCACCTAAGGACTGCAAGTAGGGCTACCAGACACTAAAGTCGTCCCTGGCCTGTGGGGTTTCCTGAAGTTCAGTGAAGAAACATGTACAGCTTGTAAGGGCAGCCCAGCCTAGAAAATAAAGACGGCCTATCTAAAGGAGCTCTGGTAGCGTAGTGGTTACGAATTGGGCTGCGAACCTTAAGGTCAGCGGTTCGAAACTACCAGCTGCTCCGCAGGAGAAAGATGAGGCTTTCTGCTCCTGTAAGGATTGACAGCCTCGGAAATCCTGTACAGGGTCGCTATGGGTCGGAACCGACTCCACGGCACATAACAATAACATCTATAAGCAGTGCTGGTAGGTTTCTAGAGGTGGCCAAGCCAGACCTCTAGGGGAGAGTGACACCCGGACAAGAACTGGTCAGCTGTTTTCATCTGGCATGCCACAAACATGTCCCCATAGGCTGCAGCCCCGGTGTTACTGGTATCCTACCGCAAATCCCCCTTCTGCCTAGGTGTCTGGTATCCTACCGCAAGTTCCCCTTCTGCCAAGACCCTTCTGCCTAGGTGTCTGGTATCCTACCGCAAGTTCCCCTTCTGCCAAGAATCAGAATCGTATGTTTAACCTAGGTCAGAAGAAGACAAAAGTGGATGAGTTCCCACTCTGTGGCCACATGGTGCCAAATGAATACAAGCAGCTCTCCTTAGAAGGAGGGCCCATATTTGTGCCAATAAGTACATGGTGAAAAGCTGTAGAAAATATGTCTTTGACTTCCAAGTGCAGCTCTATCCCACCCATGTCATCACATCAACAAGATGTTCTGCGCTGGGGCTGACAGGCTCCTGACTGTGTTGCAAGGAGTTTTCGGAAAACCCCAGGGCACTGTGACTAGGGTCCACGCTGGCCAAACACCAAGCTTCAAAACAAGGAACATGTGATTCTGACCCTATGCAGGGCCAAATTCAAGTTCCCTGGATGCCAAAAGATGCACATCTCTAAGAAATGGGGCTTTACCAAGGTCCATGCTAATGAGTTTGAAGCCAAGGTGGCTGAGAAGCCCCTCCTACCAGATGGCTATGGAGTAAAACACATTCTCAATCATGGCCCCTTGGACAAGTGGCAGGCCCTGTGTTCATGAAGGCCTTGGTAGCACTGCCCCACCTGACCTGTGCTCACCAATAAATCCAACTTCCTGTCTCCAAAATAAAAGAAGAAAAGAACTGGCCTGGCCAGGAGGGAGGAGAAAACGCCAGAGCCATGTATGAAGTCAAACAAGGGTGCTCCAGACTAAGGGAGTAGACCCCCTTGAGAGTGTGGGAGAAGAGTTGCAGGAGAGGCTGAGATGAAAGGCTGTTGGCCACCCCAATACACACATAAATGAAAAAGTGCCAGGTTCTGGACCCTCCCCAAGATTTTCAGATCACCAGGCCGTTCTTCATCTGTGTTAGTCTGGAAGCTCCACTGAAATCTTGTCAGCATCATAGCAGAAAGCAAGCCTCCACGGACAGGAACTGCACCAGAATCTCCCAGGAGAGATGAGAGAAAGGTGGGGAGTCTGAGCGGGAAGAAAGAGATGGTAAGGAGAAGAAATTGGGGAGTGGTGAGGAAATGGAAGTAGTGGCGAGAAGATGGAAGGGAGAGGGAGGAGGGGAGATGCGAGGGGGATTAGGAGCTGGGGAGAGGTAGGGTATGGAAGAAGAGGAGAAGATATGAGTGGAAGGAATCCTTCACCCAGGGCTGAAGATTGGGAAAGGCATCGTGGTCCTCTGTCTACTCAACAGGGAGCTTCTGAAGAGCTGGAAGTGTGGACCAGGGGTCCCCACCCTTCACTCTCCCCCAACCCCAAAAAACCAAACCACTGCCATCAAGTCTATTCTGACTCAGAGCAATCCTGTGTAGGATTACCGGGGCTGTAAATCTGTGCGGGAGCAGAAAGCCTCATCTTTCTCTCTCGGATTGTCTGGTGGATTTGACCTGTTGACCTTGCGGTTAGCAATCCAGTGCTTATCCTACAGACCCACCAGGACTCTCATTTTGCAGATCTGGAAATGCCAGCCCAGAGAAGCGAATAGCTTGATCCAGGGCCCACAGCCAGGATATGGAGAGCAGGATGGTGGCATGGGCATGGCACACAGTCAGTGGTCATTGCTGCCAGTCCTGCTTTACAACAGCAGGGGACCGCTGTTCACACTAGAACCTGGCGGGCACCCCCTAGGCAAGACCAAACTCTGACTCCCCTGCCAGACACCTGAAGGAGCCTTGAGTGCCTCAGGGTGGTCCAACCCCAGCCAAGGGCCCAGGCTGCCAGGCTTCAGCCAGTACCCCAGCTATCCCACGTCACCCTGACACTTTCTCCTGTCCTAGCGGCTGCTCAGGTGCTCACTTACAAATCACAGCCTCATTGATTCCAGTCAACATGGGCTCCAGTGAGTATTTAGAAAGCTGTCCTTGCCCTTGGTTCCTCGTTCTCTTTCATTTGTAATACTTTCCCCTTGCAGTGCCTGCTGGCGCACTTAGGACCTAATTGAATTCTACTTGCCCCAATCAAAAACCCTCTAAGTATTGCTTCAAGGACACTAACTTCCTATCAAGGGGAATGAACAAATGTGGACACTGGTAGTGGCGACAGCTGTACAACGTAGAGACTGTCTTTCATGTCACTGAATTATACACAGAAACATACTGTAGTTTATGGGGACCGTTGTTGTGAAGTGCCATTGAGTAGGCTCCTGTTTAGAGTGTCCAAGGAGCAGCTGGTGGGTTTGAACCACCAACCTCATGTTTCACAGTCCAGTGCTGACCCTACAGTGCCACACCAGGAGTTCAGGACAGTTGTTAGATCTTATTGCCTTCCATGCAAGAAACCTAGGTTCGATTCCCAGCCAATACAGCTTATGTACAGCCACGGCCTTTCCCAGGAGATTTGTGTGTTACTGTCATACTAAACTGGTTTCAGCACGTCATCCAGATTAAGACCAATTAGGCAATCTACTTGGGCAGACATAATAACAGCTAGCGACAACACTATGAAGGGGCTTCAGAAAGATCATTTTTGTTATTGTTGTTGTTAGGTGCCATCACATTGGCACCAACTCATAGAGACCCTATGCGCAACAGAATGAAACACTGCCCGGTCCTAGGCCAATCTCACAATCATTGCTACACCTGAGCCCATTGCTTCTGTCACTGTACCAATCCATCTTGCTGGGGGTCTTCCTCTTTTACTCCAACCTTCCATTTTACCAAACATAGTATCCTTCTCCAGTGACTGGTACCTCCTGACAACATGTCTGAAGTATGAAAGATGAAATCTGGCCATCCTGTCTTACAAGGAACACTCTGGCTGTACTTCTTCCAACAGTGTTGCAGACCTATTTGTTCTTTTGACAGTTCATGGTACTGTTAATATTTTCCTACAGCACCATAACTCAAATGCAACAATTCTTCTGTAGTCTTCCTTATTCACTGTTGAACTTTCACATGCATATGAGGCTATTGAAAATGTCATGGCTTGGGTCAGGTGCACCTTAGCCCTCAAAGTGACATCTTCGCTCTTCAACACTTTAAAGAGGTCTTGTGCAGCAGACTTGCCCAATGCAACATGTTGTTTGATTTCTTGACTGCTGCTTCCATGAGTGCTGATGGACAAAATGATATTGTCCAATGCCTTACACATTCCATTGGGTCACCTCTCTTTGAATGGGCACAAATACAGATCTTTTCCAGTCTGTTGGCCAAATAGTTGTCTTCCAAATTTCTTGGCATAGATGAGTGAGTGCCTTCAGAAAACTATAATTTACTTCACCTAACTTATAATTTTTTACCTTTTGGGTGGACACTTAGGCCGATCTCAAATTTCCATATGAAATATAATGGGTAATGAACAATGTTGGATTTATGTCATTTTATACATGGACAAATCTTTCTGTGGCTTCAAGTCATACAAGCGGAATTTCAGTAAAAATTACGTGGATTTTGCATGCTGTTGTTGCTAAGCGACAAGTCAGTTCTGATTCATAGATACCCTGGATAGGGTTTCCAAGGAGCAGCTGGTGGGTTTGAACTGCCAACCTTATGGTTAGCAGTCCAGTGCTTACCCTACAGCATCACACCAGGTATATCTTTGTTGGTGGTGGTTGGTGGCGCAGAGTTGACTTTGACTCAAAACAACCCAATGCATAACTGATCGAAACACTGCCCAGACCTACGGCATCCTCACACTTGTTTTTAGACTTGAAGCCATTGCTGCTGCCACTGTGCCAATCTTTCATGTTGGAGGTCTTCTTTTTTGCTGACCCTCCACTTTACCAAGCATGATGTCCTTCTCCAGGGACATGTCACTCATAACATGTCCGAAGTATGAGCGACATAGTCTGGTCATCCTGGTTTCTAAGGAGCATTCTGACTGCACTTCTTCCAAGACAGATTTGTTTGCTATTCTCAAAGTCCATAGTGCTTGTGATATTCTTCTCCAACACCGTAACTCAAATGCATCAATTCTTCTATGGTCT